TACCAAGGGAAATCACCATATTGTATTATGCGATGAAGGCAAAGAGAACCATATCTGGAATTCAGGGGATTCTCTGGGGCACCTTTTAGTATTTTCAATATTAAAGGTTAATGGAGAACTACCACAACCAGAAAAAACAGGATTACTAAGAACTTAGACCCTCCAGCAATGAATGTTTGGATTACTTACTCCATGCTTATTGCTTAAGGTAAGAGAAACATAAAATGAGTAATGGAGAAAGCCATAGGTATCAACTGCAACCTCATGATGAATTACACAAACAAGAACTGTAGTAGTTTTGCGTATTTTCTCTATGCTTTGGGGGTGTGTGTGTGTGTGTGTGTGTGTGTGTGTTTATTTGTACAAACTAGCCATTATCTTCTCTATCATTTCAATTTTTAAAATTTTATACACAACTTATTAGACAATAACTTTGTGGTTACTCTTTGGGTGACAGAAGATTCAATGGGGCCATGATTGAATATGAAATAATCAACAAACAATGATTTGAGACAGTAAGTCTTCTCATTTTGGTAAAGAATGACAACTCTAGTTGCGAGGCTAGATGTATTCTGTTAGGTAGAAAGACAGAACTGGAGCCTCCCCAGCAGCATAGGGAGTTGAGTGCCACACTGTGAAGCTGTCCGTCAGCCTCTGCAGTGCGGGTTCAATCCCGGCCGGCAAGGGAGATACCCACATGAAGCGGCAGACCTCTCCTGTCTCTCCTGCTGCTCCCCTCAGCAGTGTTTTCAGTCCATATGCCTGTTCTGCTCCCTGCTCTGTCTCTGGTGAATTCTCTCACCCCCCACACCTCTGGCCTGTACCCCAGCTCTTGTATAAAAATAAATAAATCTTTAAAAAAAAGTTGTTTTTTTTTTTAAAAAAAAAGAAAGAACTGTTTTGCTGTTATAAAGAAGTCCAAATGTAAGTAGATGGATACATATGGAAGTTGAGCAGCCATGAGTTAGACCCGTTATCAATTTAATGTCATTCACCTCCAAATTCACCCTTTAATTATAAGCTCTGCAATTATGAACAGAATTCCTATAATGATTCTCCTCTAAAGTGTACATAATGTCTTTTTCAGAAGACACTGATGGACCCTGTAGAATGAAGGACTCTCCTGCAGTTTTCACTGCAGCATGGTGGATCAGCAGTGTAAGTATGAGGACATCTGGTGGAGATATGCCCCAGCCGCATACAGTAAGCACTGTCCCTTGGAAATCTCACAGTCCCAGCCCTTCTGGGAGCCCTCTTGAAACAGATGTCCTACTTTCTAAGCCTCCAGTCTATATATTACCCTGATTCTACTCTTTCACCTTTCCTCAAGTTTGTCTCCTACATTTCTCTTGATGCCACTGTCCCCCCAAAAGGAAGACTGTGTGCTCCAGACCTCCTGCCCACACCAGAGCCCAGTCCCTCTGTACAGTCACAATGCCAGTCACTAGTTATAGTTCACTTTTCCTGTCTGCTTTCTCTCAACCTTTCTTGGAAAGCAGAAAAACTCTGGCCTTATAAATCTGTAAGCTGTGTCATTCAGTATGTTCAATTCCACTTCTCTAATGAGATCAATACCCTAATCTTGAATATGGGTTCCAGAAGGGACCCTCTTCCAATTATGAACTCTTGGGAACAGCCCTCAATCCTAGGGTGCCTTATGAGGTTTTCTTATACCCTACAGTTACTCTTTTATAATAATTTCATGAGACTTTATATTACATCTCCCCTGTTTAAGTCACTGTGGTTCTATCTTCAGAATAGATCTGGACTACTACAGTCTCTTTCCGCATAAAGTTTATAGTCTAGCAGAGAAGAAAGACAATTCAAATAGCAATATCATTAGTAAAATGTAAAGTACAATAGGGACACTTAGCAGAAAGGTTTAATCCACACTTACAGTATCACAGAAGTCTTTCTGCAAGGAATAACATGTAGGCATAAACAAGGTATAAATAATAGTTGACTATATACTAGATATCAAGATTTACTTTCTTCACAGTATGATACCAGCTTAAACAGACAGAACTCTGTGAGTTTGTGTGTGAATGTGTGTGCGCGAACACATGCATGTACAAATGTGAATGTGCCTCTGGTATATGACAAAGATGAAATTGTAAGTCAGTGGAGAATGGAAGGATATTCAAGAAATAGAAATTATCTCTATGGAAAAAATGAAGTTGACTTGTTGCCTCTTATAAACAAAAATCAATGCCAGGTATATTAAATACTTAAAAGTCAAAATATATAACAATGTAAAAAATTAATAAAAGGAGAGAAAAAAAACTTTGAAACTCTTAGAAAGTAGCAAATATTGTTCTGACCAGGTACAAGAATGAAATTTCTGGGCCTCCCTGGTGTCGCAGGGGTTAAAGTCTCAGTTCTATCAAGCTATCCCAGCCACTGCAGCAAAAGTTCAATCCCCGGTCAGGGAGCTAACCCACAAATGGTGCAGAAGACCTCTCCTGTCTTACCTGCTGCTCCCCTCAGCGATTTGTAGATCCTCCTGTTCTGCTCCCCACTCTGTCTCTGGTGAATCCTCTCTCCCACCTCCCTTCTGGTCTACACTACAGTTCTTATATGCATAAATAAAAATAAATCTTTTTAAAAATGAAATTCCAAATTAATACACAGAAGTAGCAATTATAAAAGAAATCATCAATACATTTGACTATTAAAATGAAGAACTCTGACTTCTGCCTTTGGTAATGGTGGACAAAATTATTTGAATAACTTCTCTTGCTGAAAATAGCAAACTTCAGGACAAAATACACACAAACATACGAAAATACATATAAAAATCTTAAAAGCATTAAAGAGTTTCATGAATACCTGTATACGTGTCAGGACAAATGGAATTTATACTTTAAATATGTGCAGTTTATTAGGTTAACTATAACTTAAGAAAGCTGTTAGAAAAATATATCATGGGGTCATATTGACACTTTCAATTTAACTTTTAAAAAAAAGTAGTATAATGTAGAAATGTATTGAAGAATTTTCTCTAGAGAACATTTGCCTATCCAAAAGTTTGAGAATAAAAAAATGAATACACACACACACACACACACACATAGAGAGAGAGAGAGATTATGTAAACACTAACCAATAGAAAAGATGTGTGGCAATATATTAAGAGATAAAATAAATCAAAAGGCATACCCAGAGAAGAATCATTTCATAGTAAGATATAACAATGCTAAATTTTTATATTCCACTAAAATAGCTTCAAAATATACGAAATAAGGGAAATTGTAAGTCCACAATGATAATGGGGAAATTTTAACACACTCCTCAAAAGTCAGTACTGATATGGATTTAAACATAATTAAACTAATGACCTAAGACATATACACACACACAATTGTAAAAAACATTCTCTTAAGATATAGAGCATTGGGCCTCCCCTGTGGTGCAGCGGTTGAGCGCTGGGTTGCGAAGCTGCCCGCGGCCTCTGTGGCGCCGGTTCGATCCCCGGTTGCCCCCCGGCCACCGGAGGAGGGTCCCACATGGCGCGCAGACCTCTCCTGCCGCCCGCTGCTCCCCTCAGCAGTGTACTTCGGTCCTTCTGCCTGTTCTGCTCCCCGCTCTGGCTCTGGTGAATTCTCTCACCCTCCCGCGCTTCTGACTGTACCCAGTGCATGTATAAACAAAACAAACAAACAAACAAATAAAAAAAAAAAATGTAAAAAAAAAAAAAAAGATATAGAGCATTCACTAAAAAAGTATAAAATTAAGGATGTTTGTTCATCAAAGGACATCATATAAAAAAACAAGCTGTAGGGCCTCCCTGTGGTGCAAGGGGTTAAGTGGCGACCTGTGAAGCTATCCGCAGCCACTGCAGCACAGCACAGGTTTGATTCCCAGCCAGGGAGCTACCCACATGGTGCAGCAGACCTCTCCTGGCTTGCTCACTGCTCCCCTCAGCAGTGTATTTCAGTTGGTCTGCCTGTTCTGTTCCCCACTCTGTCTCTGGTGAATCCTCTCACCCCCCACACCTCTGGCCTGTACCCCGGCTCTTGTATGCATAAATAAATAAATCTTTGGAAAAAAAAAAAGACAAGCTATAAAACTAGAGAAGATATATACAGTACACATAATCATCAATATTTAGCATTTAAATGTACAAAGAATTCCTACAAACACTTCTCCAAACTGACGGTTTGGAGGAAGAGGTAACAAGGTAAGTAAGAAGTTGATAATGATTTTTTTTCCAAAATTTTAGTAAGTAAAGGAAAAGATTCCTAAGTTACTGATAAGAAACAGAAAGCTACTTTGTTGTTCTATTTCACCTTTACAAGTGGATGTAAAAAAAAAAAAGAATGTCTACAAATCCAGAAAACAGTCATTTCACAAAAATATATGAAACCGGCCAAAAAGCATACAAAAATAGAAGCAACCTCATTAGAAACCAGGAAAAGGCAAATTCAAACTATATGACATCGAACAGTACCAAATGTTAGAGAGGATATATATCAAAAAGAACTCTCATACATCATTAGTCAGAGTGTGTACTGGTACAATCACTTTAAAAAAATAATGTCTTTATCATGTAAACGTATACATTCACATATCCTGTAACCAAGAAATCCACTGTTTGTATTTTAGAGAATTCTTAACATAAAAAACTATTTCACCCATTTTCTCAAGAAAACCTGGTAGATTTATATAAAAACTAAAACAGGCATTAAAATAACTCAGTAGTGTATCAAGACTAACTTCTAGAATGAAATAAATATTGTATATAAAAAGGAGCACTTTTTCCTTCTGTGCTGTTTTGTCAGAATGGTTAAAATAATGTAGACCCATATTTATTAAAAAAAAAACAAAACAGTATCAGAAACAATGTAGCCTTTTTAATTAGTTGAAATTATGGGTATGGGTAAACTGATGTATATAATCACTAAATCCTCCATATAAATTATAACTAACTTCAAATGAATTAAAGTACCCTAATTTACAAAACGTTAAGTTGCAAATGGTCACCTAAGTGAACATTTTACCTGAATATCCCATTTGTGGTGTCCAAGTTTTATACGCTGATCTCTGGGCATTTTCAGCAGACAATGGAGTTTTTAGGATCTGAGGGTAATTACTATCTCGTACAGAAGATGAGCTTGTGCCAAGAGTAAAATCTGATGCAAATGTGTTTTCTGCATAAGATCTTTTGTTTCCAAAGTATGAACCTAAATTCAAAAAATTAGTGTTAATTCTTAAAGATTCAGAATTATGCAATGTTGCATAATTTATACCATGTCCACTTGCTATACACATCTGTTTAATTTTAAAAATAGAACAAAGTATGGCAAATTTAATGACATTAATAAATTATCTTGTACTAAAATATAAGGGAAAGTGCTTGTTTATATGGCTTTTCCTCCTACAAGTTCAAGACTACTCTTGCCTACAATCACCTTTTCATTTTCAAATACACCAGATGTGTAACTTTGCATACTAATTATATGTAGTATTTATGAGGCCTCTTTTCCTTTTGACTTCTTCATTGAAACTCTCCCTATGCCAATGGTATAAAAAGTTTAAGACTCACGTAGACTCAGTTCCTTGTTTAGTTTATTACCTACTGATTATTAACTATTTTGCAGCGTTGTCATAAAACTTGAAAGACTGTACATAAACAGGTTGACATAGTGTCTTAGCACACAGAAGTTCTTTTATTTATATATATAAATAAAATATACACATATATACATATAGTGGGGCTCTTTTCTCCTATTCTTCATTTTTCATGACAACTATCTTCATTCCCCTTAAACCGCTTGCTTTTAGTTTCCTTTGCTAGATCCTGTTTTGTCTGTCTGCTCTTGGTTTCCCAGGGTTTCATATTTTTTCAATTTTCTCTCACAAATTAACATTATACGTTTTCTCTTCACATCCCATCTTTTATCTTTCTATTAATATGTATTTCCTGACAATTCTCAAACCTTCATGTACAGCCCTAACTCCTCATACTATAAAGCACAGATCAGCACACTTTTAAATTAAGGGCCAGATGGTAAATATTTTAGGTTTTGTAGGCCATATAGTCTCTCAAAATTACTCAACTCTGACAACATTCAAATAAGTAACCATAAATATGGCAAATGATTGAGCATGGCTGTTTCAATAAAATTTTACTTCCAAGTACTAAAATCTGAATTTTATATAAATTTCACATGTCACAAAATAGAATTATTTTATTTTTTCAACCTTTCATAAATGCAAAACCCATTCTTAGACCTATACGTGCGTAGTTCAATATAGCAGCTTCTCACTACATCAGTCTATTTAAGTTAAATCATCAACATCACAGAACATTCTATTAGATAGTATAGCTCTAACGTTTGTTCCTGCATCTTTTGTATGTAAATCTCTATTTACCCAGAACTTTTAAATATTCAAAAGTGAATTCATTATCTTTCCTTCAAAATTTATTCCTTATTACTACCTGTCATGACCAACTACACCATCTTTTATGTTACCCAAGTTATAAAGTTAGCACTAATTTCTAATTCCTTTTATTCAATCGTAAAACCCAGTAAGTGACAAAGTCTTGTTTTATTTTTGCCACTAAAATTTCTCATCATCTCCACTCCTACTAGTCTATTTTAAGCCATAACTTCTTCAGATCTTTTTCAAGTCTCTTAATTCTTCTCTTTGACTTGAGTATTATGCTTCTCTATCCAGTCTCACATTAATCACCAGTGATGTTTCTGAAAAAGAAATTTCACGAAGTCGCCCTTCCTTATAATTCCTCAGTGTCTCTACTATCAGAAAAAGTCTGACTTCTTTGTATGGGTCCCCACAGAAATCACACTGAAACTGATAATTTGAGTTTAATAAAATGTACAAAGAATATGTACAAAATATGATAGGATATAAGGATATCATCATAAAGAAGTGTGTAGAACACACAAAATGTGTCATTACCATACCTAAGCTTGAAGAAGCTAAGTAAGTGATTACCAAAAACTGGAGACAGAAACTAACTGTTCACACATTAGTTCAACACTACTTCCCCTTCTTGAAACATGTCTTAGTTTTCATTCAATTTTCTTGAACTCAGTTTTGTATATCTTTATATTCTCCCATCTGCCCTCAGATATACTGGAAACTTTCAAAAGTGTATTTCTCCTAAGTTTCTCTTCTTAGGTTTCGATCCATATATTTAAATCACCTCAATATGAAAATGAGAACATCCCAGAGGTTCCTCACCTTCAACATGTCCAAAAGAGAAATCATCATTTTTCCTCTAAAAGTGTTTTTCCTACAAAGTTCCCTTTATCAGGAAATAGCTTTACTGTCTATGCAGTCACCAAAGTCTGATGGACAAAACATACTTGCCTCCCAGATCAAATTCCCACACATACTCCAAGTTTATATCATATCATTCTCCTAGTTTTAGCCAAACAAAACACAGTCTACAAGCACAACATGTGTATCATACATTTTGTTCCGTACTTTCACACCTTTTTATTTCTTAAAACTGTTTCCCAGCTTCTCCTCTCTCTCCCTTCTGGTTAATGAACATTCTTTGTCCTAATTAACCTTTTAATTCCAAGTTAAGTTGCACTTCCCGTAAAATTTCTTTGCCCACTTTTGTTCCCCTACTTTACTGAATACTTCAAGAACTTGTAAGTTATCTTTTAAATCAGTTCTTTGGGTCTCCCTAATGGCACACCAGGTTGAGCACAGTGCTGGGAAGCTGTCTGCAGCCTCTGCAGCATGGGTTCGATTCCCAGGCAGCCAGGGAGATACCCACATGGCATGGCGGAACTCTCCTGTCTTGCCCCCTGCTCCCCTCAGCAGTGTATTTCAGTGGATCTGCCTGTTCTGCTCCCCGCTGTGTCTCTGGTGAATCCTCTCACCCTCCCGTGCAGCTGGCCTGTACCTCAGCTCTCATATAAATAAATAAATAAATAAATAAATAAATAAATAAATAAATAAATAAAATCTTAAATTAAAACAGTTCTTTGAAATATCGTTATCACGACTAATTATTTTGTAAATGATTTTATTAACTTTTAATTCTGTCTTTTCTACTGAACCCTAAGTTCACAGGAGCACGGAATATTAGCATCCTGCTCTCCCAACCTAACAGGTGCACCTATTTAGATGTCCATTCACCCTAACTCAGAGCCGATCACCCACCATCAGAAACTTGTAATAGAATCTATACCCAATTTCCAAAACCCCCGGTTCTCCAACCACCCCTCAAATGAAATTTCTCTGCGGTACTAACCAATGCTCCCTGAACCCCGGGAGCTGCGGTCCTGGGGCACCCCACCCCACCCCCCGGACTCCACCCATCGCCCCTTGCCTCGAGCGAGCCCGGCGCTGGGCGGGCGGCCAGGGATGCTGCTGCTGCTGCTGCGGTCGGCGGCCGCGCCCGACGTGTCGAGAGTGATGGGCGCCGCGGCCCGGGCCGCCAGACGGCGCTGAGGGGTCTCCTGAAGTCCGAAATTATAACGGGGGCCCTGTGACCACGCCCCTAGCGATGGGGAAGACGCCGGGGCGCCAGGCGAGGTTGCCGTGCCGTCAGGCCGCAACATCCTCACAAACCCCGCCGCCTCCAGTACTGAGATTCCCGACCGTCGCGTCGCGGAGCGCGAGGCAAGTCACGAGAAAAATCGCGGGAGAACTGTGCGCAGGCGCACGGAGCTGCAGCGCGCAGGCGCACGAGGGCCAGTTTCCCCCAGTTCAGATGTGGGCATGTAATCGCTGCCAATTCCAGTCCCACGACTTATGCAAGATTTGGTTGAGTCGGTATAGCCTCTTCAAACTGCAGGTACCTGCTTAAAAGGATCCCCCAAGGCCCATCAATGATTATAGATTTGGATAAATTTATCACAAAGGGCTTAGTGCTCCTTTTTACCACATACCACCAAACACTTGCATCTTACTTTTTTAAAGGTTTTATTTATTTATGCATATACAAGAGCTGGGTTGTAGGCCAGAGGTCAGGGGGGTGGAGGGTGAGAATTCACTAGAGAGATTTGGGGGCAGAACAGGCAGATCTACTGAAATACACTGCTTGAGGGATGCAGTGGGTGAGACTGGGTGAGACTGGTCTGCTGTACCACGTGGGTCAGCTCTCTGGGGTGGGGAGAAAGGGGCTGGAGGGAGATCAAATTCATGCAGCAGTGGCTGCCCATAGCTCTTGTAGCACTGAGACTTAACTCCTTGTGCCACCAAGGAGAGGTCCTTTGCATCCTTTTTATTTTTAAATATACACGTTGTCCACTGTGTATGCAGTGCCTAAAAATGCAAAAACATTTTTTATGTATTAGCACAACCCATCCAACATTATCCTTACTAGAACTGTTAACTTCCCAGTTTAAAAATATCCACAGGGCTGTTAGTCACTGCTGAGATGGCTAGTACAGTAAGAATTTAGGACAGAATGGGTGAGGTATCTTGGAAGTTTTAAGAACATTTCTCAATTTACTGTGCTTTCACACATATGAATAAGCTAAAGAAAGACAGATTTCAGTTTTGTAGATGACCTCAAGGAAATTGGCTCTTCTTAAATATGGGAATGCCAACTTCATAAATGCTAGGACTGAGAACACTGGATATTATTAGTTGTGTTTAAAACACTACTGAATTCATACTTAATAGCTTACTCAGTAAGGTATTCACACACGCCCATGTGCAAAAATTGCAGTGCTTGGGACTCCCTGGCGGTACAGGGGATTGAATCTCAGCACCACGAAGCTATCCACAGCCACTGTAGCACAAGTTCCATCACAGCCAGGGAGCAGATCCACATGGCACAGCAGACTGTTCCTATCTCGCCCGTTGCATTACTTATTGGGGTAACTTATTAGTATAGTCCCATACTAAAATCCTATTCTAATGTGAATTGCCATTTATCTAAAATTATTTTGTGATGGATTCAGAGTAACCATAAACCTATGAAATATTCCCCAAATTTCAACAGCCATTCATTTTTGTGTACCTTTAATTCACATGTGAGGTTTATCCATTTATCAGGTAATAGTATCATTAACAGATTAATTTACATCAGCATTATATAACATAAAATAGCATTCCACAAATCTAAATAGAGCATTCCAGAAGAAAAGCTTTAAGCTGAAGATACAATAAAGGTCTTTATTTTACAATATATCTATAATTATAATTTATTAAAATTAATAAAATCATATACATAATATTAACAGAGTAGTCATTTAGATCTGATAAGCACTTTTCAAAAAGCAAATGTTAAAACAGCAAAACTATATAGTAAGCAACTTTTGCACCAGTTTATCTAGACCACTAGTTCAGGCTGAACATTCACTCTTCGAAGAACCTCTTCCGGCATGCAGAAAACAGGGCTAACAGGCTTAATCTGTTCTTCTCCCAAAAGTGACAATCCAGCAATTCCAAATAAAGTATGAAAAGGATCCACCTATTTTAAAAGAAAAGAATTTATAGAGTAAAATAAATGAAAACCTTTCAAGTTATGCTTCTGAATAATGGTTAACTATACTGCAGCTAGGCATACTGATTCCTTCACATGAAAGTATGCTTGTAAGTTTTTTGAAATAAAGTCGATGGCTTCAAACTGTGATTTTCAACACCTTTACCATACGACTTTTTTTGTTAATAAATTTCTGTAAACTTGCTTCATAGCCTTCATGTATATTCTCAAAAAGTGTATTTTCTCAAAAAAATAACAAAACTGCATCCTTTTTTGAAACACTTGGAAGATCATCCCTTTACAATAGGAAAACACCTAGCACTATAAAAATGCAAATATCCAAAACATCAGAAATATACTTGCCATATCTCCTGGTCTATCTGCAAATCCTCCTGTTTCTTCATCTTGACATGCTAAGATGAAAGTACGTAGTTTCTCTCTATCAATCCAGTGAAGCCTTCCAATTATCTTCAGAGAAGCCAACACCCACCATGAATAGCACACATCTGGTAACTAGCAGACAAAAAACCACAGTAAGTTGCCATAATTTGTTTTCTAGTCCAAATACCAGGGAAGCGAGGGGAAATGCTAACTAATTCTGAAATTCATAAATACAAGTGCTTAGAATTAAAGACACTCTGGCAGAGAGACTCCAATCCACAGAAACCCATGGTAAATGTTTCGGTATTCAGTGACAACCATCCATCTACTTTTGTTTCTATATGCCATGAATGCCTATCAGTTCCATGTATCCTAGAAACTTGGCTCATGAAATCCAAGGTGATGTTTCATTTCCTTAGGCAAAGTATCACAGTGTATTTATAATGTATATTTTAAAAGAGTGTCTCTTAAATGGACTCCAATATATAAAGCACTTCAATCCTAATCATTCCACGTTTTTGCCAAAGGCATTTAGGAGATACATTTCTACTAGTGAAAATGAAAACAAAGTAAAAAGCTCATTCTATCAATTTATAAGAGCAATACTAGGAAATCTAAAACAAATTACCATTCACTTAAGGTATGTACCTTCTCTGGCCTTCCATTGAGCCCACCAGATGGTAACTGTCGTTCACAGAGCCACCAACCAAGTAAGTCAGAATTTACTTGATGCAACTGGTTAGTAATAGCCAGAAATCCTGTGCAACAATAGATCTAAAATTACAGACATAAAGTACATGTGTATAATAATTTTAATAGTGACAAAAACTACTCAAATTACAAATACTCAATTTCACATCTAAAAAATTTGCTTTCTGGCAAATCGAACATTTAGTATTGCAAATAATATATCATGTAACTGAAAAAACTACTAGGACCCAATTCTGCACTGAAATTCTTAGCAAAAAAAATATTTACGGCTAAAAGCAAACTTTATTGGCCAACTATTAACAAAAACAATATTCTTTGGCAAAAGTAAATGGCTATTCAAAATAGGTAGGGAAGACTTTTGATTTGTTTAGTTAAAAGTGTCTTGGTGGCTACACACCTACCATACAGCCCTTTGCGTCAGGGGGTCCACAGCCAAGGACAGATATCTAAATTAAAGTTTTAAAAATGCCTTTCCTTTTTTAAAAGATTTTATTTTTATTTATTTATGCAGATAAGAACTGGAGCGTAGGTCAGAGGTGGGGATGGAGGGTGTATGAGAGGATTTGCCAGAGTGAGGAACAAAACAGAAAAATGCCTTCATTAATCATCAATTAAGCTACTCTTATCTAACATTCCACATTCAAATTATCATTTTAACAGACATGGCATTCTTATTAACACATCTCTCCAATTTATTACAGGATTATCCCTTAAAAATCAACACATTTAATCTGCTCTAATCAATTACCTGCCCAGCATGGGATTCAGAACCTGGTCTGCAACCAAATCCACCATCAAAGTTCATACATGATAAAACAAATTCAATTGCCTTTTCCACATTGATAGCATCTAGTTTCCCCTATAAAAAGGAAAAAAAAAGCCAATAAAATTGTGGCGCCTTCACATGGTTTAATCATTCCAATACAATATTCAAAACTTACCAACAGAGCCAAAGTTGCCACAGCACAAAAAGAAAATCTTGTATCAATTTCTCCTGAAACAGATCAAACAAAAACATGTCACAGGAGGATTCTGACTATATTGTATGACTACTACATTAAGTTTTGAAGAGTTCAAGCCTAACATTTATTTGCTTTTAGGTCACCAAGAAAAAAGCTACATCTGAATGAAATGCCTTTACTTCTTTAACAAATTTATACAAAAACACTGTCAAGAAAATAAGAGCAAACTGTTTAAAGTGACTAGAAAAGGCAAAGTAGGTAACAACCAAAAGATCAATTTCTAATGACCATAACTTACCCTATTATATAAAAGTAGATTTTCACATCCCATGAAGCAGCTGGTCTCTCCGGCCTGCACTGTATTGAGCCCTAAAGCAGAGATTATCTACATTTATCAAGTAGTGTATTATTCCCTCCCTCCACTCAAATATTCAGTAAGTTTGTAAAGTTTTTTTATTTTCCCCTAGCCAGCATTTCTGTAAAAACTTTACAAAGTCACCAAATATTGGGAAAAAAATTTCACCTACCTTAAATCTTTTAGACTGGCCCCTCTGTTCCAGTGCTCCTGTATGCTGCTATAACTAGCACAGTGCATGCTGGAACTTCCAGCAAACCATTAACTCCAGTTAGACCAGCTGCTTAGTGGGACCTGAAAAAATGAACAACTTAAATCTCCTTATAAAATTATTAGCAAAGTTCCCAAACCATTGTACTTTTTTTGCAACGAAGTTTATTACTACCAAAACACCAAAACGTAGTATTTTAATACTGGTATTGAGTAGCATAGATTTAAACTTGACATTACCCCAAATGTCTCCAGCGAAAGAACCATCTTCTTTCTGTAGACTCTGAACATATTCCACAACTTTGTTTACATCAATAACATTAATACTATCATACAGAGTAAGGATCTGTAACAAAAACAAGTCATATTAAGTAAATGCCACTTCAAAAAGAACTTTGTCCTAATAGTTTGCCCAGCATATTCTCATCTATGTGTATTATGAATATTTCTCAGAGATTTTCTAGAGTAAAAAAATTTAAATTATCCTCAAATCCAATGTTTAGCCATAATGCATTATTTTTAAATAAAGCATTTATTTTCTGCATTCAAATTGAAGCTTAGCATAGCATGATGTAAAATAGACTAACTTATGTTTACAGGAGAGGAACAATTAACCCAGTATTTGTGTCTTCACTAATGTCAAAATGTAATCATTTCACTCCACCTAGAGATTTTCAGATATTTACATATCCTGAAGACAAACAATATATTATCCAAGGTCTCAGTGTAATTTCATAATTTCCATCAACGTTGGAATCAGCTAATACATGCCAAAACATCATTGACCTTGCAGCAACTTCATTTAAAAAGGACTTTTTAACAGATGATAATTTTGTCACCTTCCTAATACCTAGATTTCGGTATCCCTGCTGTCACTTTAAGAGATTACACTAAGACTATTGCCTTTAATCAGTATTTACCTGGACGGCACTAAGTGTGTACAAAAGATGAGGATCATGTCCGATACTAGCACTTACTCCACCACACTCGTGTTGACATGACTTAATGAATGTTAGAATTTCTTCTCTATTCATGCGATGAAGTTGTCCCATGAGATCCATTACAGTCAGACCCCAATAGACGCCACTCATTCTCAAATACTCAGACATACAGTATTCCTAAAACACACAATTACTTTAATGTGTCAATGTGAACTGATACAGGGTTAAAGAGAATAAACACATAAAGTGAACTAGCAACTCCCTCCCCCGCAAATTTCACCTGATTCTAAAACATCAGTAGCGACCTTATACTTCTGCCTCCCAAGTTTAGGTGGCTAAATAGCAGAAGTCCAAAGAAAATCTTCACCTATGACAAACACTATACAAAGGCCTTTAATCTCTCCCAAGAGCCCAACAGAAGTCCAAAGAAAAAACCTACCTTTTTCATCAGCAAGTTGGTGTGTGTGGACTTTTTTTAAGTAACCACATTAGTATTACATATGCACTATTTTAATATAGGGACTCTATGAAACTTGTCCATTATTAAATGGTAAAACTTTAAAGTCAAAATAACCAAAGCATAAAAGGTTAGGAAAAAAGATAACAGTACCAAATTAAGAACAAATGAATACAAACTCCATAAACAAATTTTTTGCATTTTAACAGGTTTTGAATCAAGTATCTCAACATTTTGCTACAGACCCAATTCAGTGATTTAAGAATCAGTAGGTGGGCAGTAGACTAGTTACAAGGTTATGGTAAATGAAACACTTAAAAAAATTCATCAATACTAGGCACTATCAAAGATAGTTGATCATTCAGGTATTTTGGATACTATGGCGTAAATGACATACTTTCAGTTTGGTTATTGTTCCTATGACTGGTTCCAGAGAGGAAAACAATTCTTCAAAATTTAAAACTTAAGGTAAATCTTTCTCAAGGTCTCAGCGTAATTCTAGAGCTTAAGTGTTATTACACATCAGCTTTAAGTTCAGGTAATACATGCCAACACATCATCGACCTTGAAAACATTATCTCAGTAACCTTACATCTTGGAGATAAAAGTCTGTTTTGTCTATCAAGGTCTGTAAGAAGTACAGGTAGGAACCATAGTTAACTGTGATGGATCTTCAACCTTAGATCCCCAAAAGTAGCAATACTCTTGCTACATTTCAGACATACTTTTCAGACTTTGGCATACCAGAGCTATCATTTTTAGGACGCATGGGCCATAAATACTGAGTGCTTATACTACAGCCTCACTTCTTTAAAATTTTCAACACAAAACACATACATACATAATCATCTTTCTTTGAGCCATAGGATGCAATATAATCTGCGTGCTTTTCCAGTAACAGTGAGTCAGGTGCATCTGACTTGATAATAACATCCTTCTGTGGCGTACCCTTTTAAAAAATAAAAAGCAGTGTTTTCATAATGTTTACCTTCTAATGCTCTGCCCAAAGAATGTATTCAACACATATCTAAACTTATTTTTCTTTTCATTTTGCAGTACAAAAAAACTTTCATTTTAAAAACTGCCAAATATCTGACAGAAATAGCTCAACACTTAAGCTCTTGTAGCTAAGATTCAGGTTATTTTTCAGGTCTCAGAGTAATTCTAGAGCTATGGTTGAAATAATCAACTTTTGATTCAGAATACATGCCAACTCATCATTGACCCAAAAAATTATTACCTTCATCTATCATCTTTCACTTACAATGAAATACAATACCGTCGAGTGCAAAGCTTACCAATTAAGAACTTACCATTTACATGTGACAGAAAGCAGATTAATCATTATGGTAAATAAGCTAACCAGTCATTTATAATTCTTTGTAATTCCATTTTATCAAGCACCTTCTATGTATGTAATGTTACTAGCTTTATCCACCTTTAATCTTACTTTCAACAGAAAACACACACCCTCGGGTGCTAAAGGTACTGCTTCTAATTGCAAGCATTTCCTCCCCCTGCCTCCACTCCATCTAGATTTTCGGTGCCTGGACCGCAAAAGATTAAGCAGCGCATTTCCCTCGGACCCGACCAAAAATACGCAGTATCTTCAACAAAACAAAACCACTAGCAATTCTAAATATTCCAAACGATTTTTTTTAAAAGATTGCCCTGGCTTTTTTTTTTTTTTAAGATTTATTTACTTATGCATACAAGAGCTGGGGTACAGGCCAGAGATGCAGGGGGGAATGAGAGGATCCACCAGAGACAGAGTGGGAAACAGAACAGGCAGATTGACTGAAACACACTGCTGAGAGAGCAGCGGATGAGACAGGAGAGGTCTGCCGTGCCATGTGGGTAGCTCCCTGGCGGGCCGAGGACTCGAACTCGTGCAGCAGAGGATGCGGCTTGCTTCGTAGTGCAGCGCTTAAACCCTTGCGCCACCATGGAGGCCCTTCCCTGGCTTTTTAAAGGGATTAAAAAATCCGGCCGCTGAATCCAGAGGCCCGCCCGAAGCCGGAGCAAAATTAGCAGCGGTAATTGTGCCCGCGAGGTCAGCAAAAAAGCTGACTAATTCTTCACCCTCTCTGAGCCCACAAGAAACCCATCAAAGCCCGTGTCTTAACCCAACTAGTCTCCAGTACTTGGCATCCAAGCCTTCGGGGCCTGAGCAGCTCAGCGATCACCCTGCCCGGCCTCCCCCCGACCCTTCCGGACAGGAGCGCGGAGAACACAGCTACACTCACCATGTCTGAAATCGAAAAGGGAGAGTGACGTGCTCCAGGGTAGGCTTAGGCAGCACGCGCCTGCGCAGAAGCGCTCTTCAGGCCCCCTCCACGCCCCGACATAGCTGACCAAGCTCCTGCCTGACGCGCGGGGCCGTTTCGTGGCGGCCCTAGGACCCCGCGCTCTGTCTGCGCCCGCCTCAGGGGCCCGTTTTCTACCCCCATTTACTTGTGTCAAAAGCAGTTTTAAGTCGTACTTTAATATGTATTCCTGTTAAGAAATTGTTTGTTCTTAAGGTTCTCGGATCTCTGGAGCTCTGAGATGACGTAATTAGTAGAGTTCTTATACTAAGTGTTTAAAAAGTGTCTTTTGAGTGAATGGGAAGGAAATGTTCACTTTCCCTTCCTGTTTATTTTCATTCCGGGTTCGGCTCCCACCTTCCTTCGCCTACTCCCACCACTTTCAGAAAGGCTCCTGGCTAAAATTTAGAAATTACTTTCAAAAAAGAAACAGCCAGCTGCCTTTTACGAGCATTTTCAGAAATATCACGGAATGAAGATTTACTAGGTGTCATTACAGCTATTTTGATTTGTGCACTTATTTCACTCTTAACATTGAACAACTGTTACAGGGCAACCCCGATTTAAAACGGACATCCTTTTTCCCTTAACACAACTATTAGAAAATAAGGCGCGCAAAAATAAAAAATAAAAAAATAAAAAATTGGCATGCTATTCTCTTTTAATTGATTTATTCTGTAACAATTTGGAGGTTTCCTTATATGGCAATGTGAGCTATCAGTGATTGAGTGTTGAATCTACTCTGATGAGTTAATTTCCCTGAAATTCTTTGATATTCCCATTTATACTTTGAAGCCACTTATTAGTTAAAGGCAATTAAGCCTAGAATTACCTGTTTATACTGAGCTGAACTTTTTTATGATCAAGTGATATCTCTAACTCTTAAAGAACACTCCAATCACCTCAATGTATTTGCCAGTGTTTTAGTTGTTTTCCTACAAATAAGATTCATTTATTATCTTCTAAGCAAATGTTTCTAACATCTCTTGATTTGCCCTTCCAAGGTAAAACCATAAATTCAGAAAAATAAAAATTTCCAATCTATTTTACACTTATTGTATCTTTAACATTTTCTGAGGAAGGGGCCTGGAAAATCATAAAAATCTGGGTTTTTTTCACCTTATAAAAAGATACTAAAAATTACTAAGTTTGTTTCATGTGTCCCATATTTCTTAATTACCAGCTCTATTGTGAGAGCTTCATAGAAAAAGTTGGTAAGTAAATCAGGTCAACTTAGCCTTTCTTAGCTAAATTTGAGTAGGTAAAATTTTATTAATACGTCCAAAAATTTATACTTTAGGAGAAGACCCTGGAGATTTATCAATGCTCTTGTTTTCCTTAGGGGAAATAATGCTTAAATGCTTCTGAAATAGTTATGCACTATGCTGCAGAAATTTTTATTCACTTCCATTCTGATATTAAATATAGTAAATAACTGCAAGTTTCAGTCTTAGTCATTGGAATGAAATGAATGTGGCCTCCAAAAATTCATATATTGAAATCCTAATGCCCAATGTAATGAATGGTATTGGGAAGTGAGGCCTTTGTAAGATAACTACCTTAGGAGGGTGGAGTTAGTGATCTTATGAAAGGGTTTGCGTGGAGCATTTTATTTCTGTCATGTGAGAATGTGAGAAGTTAGCAGTCTACAACATAGAAGAGGGCCAGTACTTTTGGCTTCTTAGTCCCCAGAACAAGTATGTTTAATGTTTATGCCATTCAATCTATGTTATTATTACATCAGCCCAAACTAAGACAGTCATCCTATAGTATATTTTTTTCTCTGATGCTAGTTGAAAACTGCTATAAGCTACAGGCCAAAGTCTGTGCATACAGGAAGAGGAAGTCTCAGAGCCTGCTGGAAAGGATTAGAGACTTCGAACTGTAGCTAGATAGTTGAAAGAATAGTCTCTTCTTGGGTGCAGACTTCTAAATGGACATATCTATTCTTTTCTCTTATTATTTTGGGTTTTTTTAAAGATTTTTTTATGCATACAAGAACTGGGGTACCGGCCAGAGTTGTGGGGGGTGAGAGGATCCACCAGAGACAGAGTGGGGACAGACTGACTGAAATACACTGCCAAGGGAAGCAGCGGGTGAGACAGGAGAGGTCTGCTGCACCATGTGGGTAGCTCCCTGGCAGGGGATCAAACTCATGCTGCAGTGGCTGAGGATAGCTTCATAGGTTGTATCTTAACCCCTTGCGCCACCAGGGAGCCCTCGCTTATTATTTTGGATAGGAAGGGGAAGGGAGGGGAGAGGGACAGGAGGCAATGGGAGGAGAGGAAAACAAAGTAGACATATCTTAGACAAACTTGACACTGTGCAAGTGGACTGATTTAGGATTTCTAGGACTACATAGTCTGGAAGTTGAGTTTCTAGAAAGCAGTTCATGGGTCCATGATCCAGCAAAACAATTACAGATACTCAATGAAGTAATGATAAAAACTTAATCATGGTTATGGTTATGTTTGGAATATTTTTATACAGTTGTAATATTCTATTTCTATGGCCATATGAGGGAGCCCTTTTTATTTCTTAAGCTATCTCTAGCTTTCAATTTATTGGACTACTTTTATAAACTGGAATTTCATTTCATTTTTTATTTTTTTAATAATGAAGTAATATTGTTTTACACTTCTGTTAGTATTTTGATTATTTAGGAGTTCTCCCCTTAGGTGTGATCAATGTAGCTCTCCCACCACCAAAACAACCATAAATCCTCTCCCACAGTCCCTTGCACTTTTCCTTCTCACCTCCCCCCCACCCCCCATCCACACCACCCCCCCACCGCCCCTTCTCTCTCTTCTCTTGGATGCATCAGATCAGTATTCAAGCGTTGATTTTAGTTTGTCTTTGCTTGATGCTTTGTTTGGTTTTTCTATATTCCACATATAAGTGCTACCATTTGGTATTTATCTTTCTCCTCGCTTATTTCACTTATCATAATCCCTTCCAGATCTATCCATGTTGATGCAAAAGGCATGATTTATCTTTTTTGATTGGTGAATGTTGAGTCGCCTGGGATCAGTACTTGTGACTAGTGTCCGAAATGAAGGTAGTCTTATGGAGTGGAGTCTGATGCTAACTGTTCTGAGTTAACGTCAGAGTAGTATTGAGCTGGAGGAATTCTACTGAACTGGTGTCACAGTCAGAAAATCAGAAGTGGTGACAGAAATACCAGTTAACATATTTTAGAAGTAACTGATGTTTACAATTATAAAGAAATAGCAAATTCATGAAAATTTTTCTTACATTATTTTGTATTTTCTGAGATATCTAATAATATAATCTAATGAAAAATGGGCAGGTAACCATGCAGCTCAAAATCAAAACCTTTTTTCCATTATACTAAATAAATCCAGTATACATTATTACATGAAATAATAAAGCTTCCTGGAAAGAATACAGATACACTAATTAGCTCTAAACAGACAATTTTATTTATATTTCTATTCATAATGTATGCACAAGAAATAAGATTGTGTACAACAGACCAAAAGCTACCCAGAAACAAAGTCTTAGAAAAATATTTTAAGCCAAGTTTCATTGATTTATTTAACATAAGGCAAGTGAAATGTTGACTCAGAATGAAATAAGATTTTCAAATATCTTCTGATTGTTGTATAATGGATTATGAACATTACATTTTTGATAGTTACTGTCTCAAATTGAAAACAATATGCTTCCTAAATTATAGTAAAATGACCTCCTTTAATATAATTTCATTAAACTTTCAAAAAGTTATTTAACAGCATCCAAATCCTAATATAGTTTTCCAATACAAATTTTGGATAATCTGAATACTTTCATATGCTGATTTATTGGTCACTGGAAGTTTCTGTTATTTTAAGAGGTCAAAATAGCAAAACAAATTTTTTTTAAGATTTATTTTTTATTTATACAACAGCTGGGGTACAGGCCAGAGGCGCAGGAGGGTGAGAGGATTCACCAGAGACAGAATGGGGAGCAGAACAGGCAGACAGACTGAAAGCACTGCTGAGGGGAGCAGCGGGCGGTCTGCCACACCATGTGGGAATCTTCCTGGCCAACCGGAAATGGAACTCGCATTGCAGAGGCTGCAGACAGCCTCACAGTGCTTCACTCAACCCATTGCGCCACCCGGGAGGCCCAACAAATGTATTTTTCTAGGCTAACATAACTCAAGTATGGTGATACTAAGGACAAAAAATAACTTGAATGAAACCAAATCTATTTGAGAAAAAGCTAGACATAGTTAAATAAAAATAAAAAACATTACAATAGTTGCATAGATTTAGTGTAGAAGTTTTTACTTAAAAATTTTTACTGGAAAAATATGAAAGCCCTTTTCTATTTTTCTGGAGCTTAGGGAATTGTGTTGTAAAAACACAATCATAAACCATGTTTCTGTAGCAATCTTGTTAATTTTTATACCTGCCAATGTGTTCACGGGCTATAATAAGCCTTTGAATTTGTGCTGTACCTTCGTAAATCTGCAAGAAAAAATTATAAATGTAAGTTAAATATTTTCAGTATATACATAATTCAGTTTACTTAAGATTTTGGATAATAATATAAATTCTATTATAATATCAAACCAAATCAAACATACAGGGTCTGCAGTATATAGTGATTTCAAAGCTGATTTTGTGAAACCCATGAAAATGTGTAATTCCCTAAAGATTAGTTAAAGTTATTTTAAAAGCCACTTATCAAAATATTAGAGTATTTAAAAAATCAAATAAAAGTATATTATTATTTCAAAAGGCTTGGAAAAAAATTTAATGTTGCTAAAATATTCACGCAAATTTTCTGAACTATTATTAGTTATATGTCACCTTAAATCATGTTCTACTCTTACTCTTAAACCTGATTTTGTCTCTTCTGCCTAAGGAACGATGTTGCTAAAGAAAAAGATGCTATAGGATTTGGTTTTGTTCACCTAAAATAATCTTCACAGCCAGACCTCATTTCCAGTTTAAACTTCTAACTCTAATAATTTGTTTATTCATCTTCTCATCAGATAGCAGAGAAAAAAGTTAAGTGACTGATAGTATTAAGAATTATAATGATTATAGGCTCCAAAAGAGGGAAAGCATCATAAGATAAACCTGTAACAAATTTTGGTCCTTAGTTATTTCCTGTCTAAATCAAGAGGCTGTGTTATAATGTCTGAATTCCTTCTCACACTAGCATTCTATGATTCTATCTCTAGATTGCAGAGGACTCAATTTTTCAAATTATATGCTAAAGGTAAAAGGAAGCAAAAGAAGATATACTGTGGTGCATGGGTTATAATTACTTAAGTAATTATGTGGTGAACATGGTCATTTTTATCTTATTTAGTAAATTACTCCTTCTTAAGTTTTTCTAGTCACCAATTTAATTTAGGAGACAGAGTATTTTGTCACTGTCTCTTAATGTTGTTTTTTAACTCCCCAAATATGGCTTACTGGGGAGTTCTCAGGCAAGATTCAAAAATAAATAATTTTGAGTGAAATGTACATTTTTTTTTGAAATGTACATTTTTAAAAGAGCACAGGGCAGGTTATGATTAGCTATGATGTTAAGAGTTAAAGAAGGCTGTTCCAGACATACTGCACATGTCTGTACATTTACTTTGTTAACCTATTCTCCCTTAAGGCATCAACTTAAAAGTAACATTCTTTCATGTGTTAACTAGTTTCAAAAACTTGAGCTCTCAGCCATCTATGAGGTCATTTATAATTACTAGCATAAAACCTCTAAATAATGAAAAATACACTGTGTCATTTATGAATATCCTGTACCCTAAAAAACAACAAAAACCATTTTTAACCTTACCTGGTAGATCTTTGCATCCCTCATTAGTTTTTCTACGGGATAATCTGTATTAAATCCGTTGCCTCCAAAAATCTGTACAGCATCAGCAGCTATCTGATTTGCAATATCTCCAGCATATGCTTTTGCTATAGAGGCATAGTAGGTATTTCGGCGGCCAGAATCAACCTCCCAAGCTGCTCTCTGGTAACCCATTCTAGCAAGTTCAATTTTCATTGCCATTTCAGCCAGCAAAAATGATACCCCTTGATGCTAGAATTGAAAAGAAAAAAGTTTAAGGATATTTATGTACTAATTTGAAATTTTTTCTCACAGAATTTTTTTAGTGTTAAAACCAATTTTAGATTTAAAAAGGTACACTCCAGGGGCCTCCTGGCAGCATAAGAAGTTAAGATGCAACCTATGAGACTGTCCACAGCCACTGCATCACCAGTTCAATCCCTGGCCAGGGAGCAATTCACGTGGCACAGCAAACCTCTCCCAGCTCGCCCGATGCTCCCCTCAGCTGTTAGTTCAGTCAATCTGCCTGTTCTGCTCCCCACTCTGTCTCTGGTGAATCCCCTTACCCCCCATACCTCTAACCTGTACCCCAGTGCTTGTGTGCATTAATGAATGGATCCTTAAAAAAAAAATAAAAATAAAAAGGTACACTCTAGTTCTCTAAAGTTAACATATTAAAAAACTATATGGTATAATGATCAAGATCAGGACATCAATATTGGTAAAATATTATCATTAATTACATTATATACATTATTCAAATTTGCCAAATTTACCACTGATGTCCTTTTTCTGTTGAAGAATCTTATCCAGGGTTACATTATAAAATTTAGTTATTTCTCCCTAGTCTTCCCCATGCTGCTAGGACTCCATTCTTTTCTTGTCTTTCATGACCTCAGCACTTTTGAAGAATACTGACTGGTGGTTGTTTTTTTTTAAAGATTTATTGTATTTTATTTGTGAGATGGGGATGTACGCCAGAGGTGTGGGGAGATGGGATGGTGTAAGAGGATTCACAGAGACACAGTGGGGAGCAAAATGGGGGGATCTACTGAAATACACTGATGAGGGGAGCAGCAGGTGAGACAGGAGAGGTCTGCTGAGCCAGGGTTAGCTCCCTGGCCAGGGATTGGCTACTGATAACTTCATAGTCCTGAGACTTAACCCTTGTGCCACCAAGGGAGGCCCCATTTTTAAATTTTTTTTAAAGATTTATTTACACATACAAGAACAGGGTGCAGGCCAGAGGTGCAGGGACGGGTGAGAGAGAGAGAGAATTCACCAGAGACAGAGTAGAGTGGGAAGCAAAAAAGGAGGATCTGTTGAAATATACTTTTAAGGGGAGCAGAGGGCAAGACAGGAGAGGTCTGCTGTGCCATGTGGGTTAGCTCCCCAGCTAGGGATCAAACTCATGCCTCCGTGGTTGGTGATAGTTGGAGACTTTAACCCCGTGCACTACCAGGGAGGCCCAGAAATGTGTCTCTTTAAGTATGCACTCTGTGGTATGGGACTCTCCAAGTGGAGAAATAGTTCTTAGAATGGTGATTCCTCTGGAGTGCCTGATAAAACTATCAAGACATTAAAGATGTGAAACTCTAGAATGCTTCCTCAGTGCATTGAAGGAATATATCTTCTGTAGAAAGATATTATCTTTGCTTACAAGGAAAAATCAAGATAGAAAGATTAGGCCCCTAAGTACTTGAGATACAGAAGAAAATTCTGAAAGTAATTAAATGAAGTCGTGTTTGTATATATACATATATAATAAAATTAGGGAAGTAAAAGAGAAAGAGAAGCTATACTGAAAACGTATCACCATTTAAAAAAAGCATGGAATTGAAAAAGAACTGAATACAAATTCTAAAAATGAAAAAACTAAAAAAAAATCAAAGATGAAAAAGTTGCAGATTAATTGTAAATTAAAAACAATCTGATCTTTCATCATAGTTTGAGAACCACTGACATCTGAGGACAGAAATGAGGTATTTGTTCATAATATAACATATAACAAGTTACAGGAGGAGAAAATACAGATAAGGGGAGCGAGTCAATATTTGAAGAGATGTGCAGAGAATTAAGAACACGATGATTCTTTAGTACTAAAATTATTTAGTAGTTCAGAAGACAAGAGAAATGATATGGATTAAGAGTATGAAATGGAGTCCTAGATCTGTGGCTTACAAAGTTTGTGACCTTGGACAAATCATTTAATATTTCTGATTTTCAATTTCCTGATCTTTAATTAAGATTACAGTACTACCAAAACTAGTCTAGCACAGGGAGAATTAGATAATATATTTAATATGTGTGGCACACCTCCTCCAATAAAGACATACAAGTGGCCATCAGGCACAAGAAAAATCCTCATCACTTATACTCAGGAAAATGTAAATCAAAATCACAGTGAGATACCACTTCATATCTGGGAATGACCCACATTAAAAAGACCAGAAGCAGTAAGTATTAGCAAGAATGTACAGAAAAAAATGGGCCTCCCTGGTGGCGCAAGGGGTTAAGCACAGCACTATGAAGAGATATGCAGCCTCTGCAGCACGAGTTCAATCCCCGGCCAGCCAGGGAGCAACCCACATTGGTGTAGTAGACCTCTCCTGTCTTGCCCGCTGCTCCCCTCAACAGTGTATTTCAGTCAATCTGCCTGTTCTGTTCCCCACTCTGTCTCTGGTGAATCCTCTCACCCCCAGAGGTGTGGACCTCTGGCCTGTACCCCAGATCGTAATATACATAAATAAATCTTTAAAAAAAAAAAAAAAAGAATGTACAGAAAAAGGAGCTTTCTTACAATGTTGGTGGGAATGTAGATTGGTCCAGCCCCTATGGAACAGTTCTCAAGAGGTTAAAAATGGATCTACCAAATGAAACAGCATTTCACTCCTAGGTATCTACCTTAAGAATATAAAAACATGCTCAGCGAAATAAGCCAGAAAGAAAAAGAAAAATACCGGATGGTCTCACTCATAGCAGAAATCTAGAAAACTTAAATAAGGGACCAGGAAAATGAATAACTATAAGAAAGTGAAAATCAAAATCAGCAAAAAACTATGAACCAGAGACACTCTATGGGGGGTAGGGGGCGGGAGGGGAGGGATTGGGGAATATGAAAATAAAATTTATTATAAAAAAAAAAAGAAAATAAATACATTTTTAAAACCTTAAAAAAAAAATATATAAAAACACCGGGCCTCCCCTAATGGCACAGGCGGTTGAGCGCCGCGCTGTGAAGCTGTCCGCAGCCTCTGTAGTGCCGGTTTGATCCCCACCAGCTGGTGAGGGTCCCACATGGAGTGGCGGACCTCTCCTGTTGTGCCTGCTGCTCCCCTCAGCAGTGTATTTCATCAGTCTGCCTGTTCTGTTCCCCACTCTGTCTCTGGTGAATCCTCTCACCCTCCTGTGAATCTGGCCTGGTTCTTGTATAAATAAGTTTTTAAAAAAAAATTACGTATAATTTAAAAAAAAAAGGATATAAAAACACTAATTTGAAAGGAAATATACATGCCTATGAAAGGAAATACGCATGCCTATGCTCACTGCAGCACTATTTACAATAGCCAAACTATGGAAACTACCAAGGTGCCAAAAAAAACAGATGAATGGATCAGCAAGAAGTGGTATATTCACAAAATGGAATATTACTGTGCTTTTGAAAAGATAAATTCTTGCCCTTTGAGACAACATGGATGGAGCTGTAGATTATGTTAAGTGAAATATCAGAAAGAGAAAGACAAAATACCAGATGTCACTTTTATGTGGAATATAGAGAAATAAAACAAAGAGCCAGATAAACTTAAACTAATAACAAACCCTAGAAACTAGACAGTAGAATTGAGGCTACAAGGAGAGGGGAGGAGCAAAAACAAAGTGGGGAGGAAGAACAATAGTTTATGTTGGTAGACTACAGATTCTGTGGTGGCATGTGCAAGCCAGTAATGACTTCTGAAGGGGGTATAACTCTAAAACACAATGCTGTAAACCATGTAACTTCGATTAAAAAAAAAAATGAAAAACATGGCACATTGTCAGATATATAACAGGCACTAACAAAATAAATATTAGCTCTTCCTTTTCTTCATAATTTACATAATTCTTTGAGTGGACAACTGTTAGTGGCATAGTTTAAAAGAAATCTACTCTTGAAACCCATCCTGATACATCACATTATCTTCTTGCTACCAAAGTAGAAATAAAACCGTTTGTAGTTAAAGATAACTTTCAAATAATTAGATGAAAATGAATGTCTTTACATTTGGATGAAGTAAGCACAACATTAAAATTACCTCTACCGGGCCTCCCCAGTGGCAGCGGGTTGAACGCCACGCTGTGAAGCTGTCCACAGCCTCTGCAGCATGGGTTTGATTCCCAGCAGTCCAGGGAGATACCCACATGATGTGGCAGATCTCTCCTGTGTCGCCCGCTGCTCCCCTCAGCAGTGTCTTCAGTCTGTCTGCCTGTTCTGCTCCCCACTCTGTCTCTGGTGAATTCCCTCACCCTCCCACGCCTCTGACCTGTACCCTAGTTCTTGTATAAATAAATAAAAAATCTTAAAAAAAAAAAATTACCTCTACAAGCAGCTTTCCAAAAGTTTTCCTGTCCAGGGCATACTTGGTAGCTTCATCCAAAGCTCTTTGTGCAAGTCCCACAGCACCAGCTGCCACCTAGTATTTTAATATAAAACAAAGTAAAATTCACAATGTCTTTAAAACGCAGAGTACAATGGCTCTTTGCCTAACAGTCTATGTTAAGGATTAGAAAAAGAGAAGATGACAAAAACCTTAAGGCAATGAGAATGGGGGAAGGGAAGAGAGGGGGAAAGAATAAATATTTTAATTTACATTATTAGGAATTAAAGGTTAATGGAAGACTGGGTAAGGAACAAGATCCAAGCATGAAGACAAATCATTCTTTCTGCTTAACAAGGAAAAGCTCCTTAGGGGAAATATTCTTAATGAGTGAGAAGAGAGGAAATGAGTACCATCAATAGGAATGATTAAATCAAGCGCAAACTGCCTAGCGTTCTCTAAGTCTAGCATCAACTACTGCAATTGTGTATTTGCTAAAAGAATTTCTATAACATGCAGCAAGAGAGTTAAAGAAGCCTAAAATATAAAGAATAACAACAATATCTCTCCATCCTTAATAAAAGCAGATTTTAAAAAATATACAACCAAGCATACTAAATGTAGTCAATAAAAAGACTCCATACAGATTATGAAATCATAATACTTACTGGAGGTCTGGTTTTATCAAAAGCTCCCATTGCAATCTTGAAACCTGCTCCCTCACCAATCAAAACATTTTCTTTAGGCACTTTCACATCTTCAAAGACAATTCCTCTTGTATCAGAACATCTCTGGCCCATGTTTATTTCCTAAAAAGAGAAACAACATAAGCTATAGAATACCATTTGACCTAGCATGAATTTTTTGTTTTAGTAACTGTTTTATGATTTTGAGCTATTACCTAGACCGGGTTTAACAAACTATGGCCTTCAATATCTGTTACAAAAGAAACAAAAGGCCCAAAATGAAGTCATTCATGCCATGTCCCACCAAGACTTAATACTTACCTAACTGAATACCTATCTCTGCTAAAAGTAGAAATTTAAACTAATAACACTGGAATTTCTTGGTCAGCACTAGTGAGGTAATCTGCAAGATGAAAATCCCTTACCTTCCTCTAAGGGAAGGTGGTTTTGCCTGAAATAATCTTTCCTTTCTTTCTTTTTTTTTTTTTTTTTATAGAGGCATGTTTTTATTTATTTATTTATTATATTTGTTTGTTTTGTTTATGCATGCACTGGGTACAGTCAGAAGCGCGGGAGGGTGAGAGAATTCACCAGAGCCAGAGCGGGGAGCAGAGCAGGCAGAAGGACCGAAGCACACTGCTGAGGGGAGCAGCGGGTGGCAGGAGAGGTCTGCGCACCATGTGGGATCCTCCTCCGGGGCCGGGGAGCAGCCGGGGATCGAACCGGTGCCGCAGAGGCTGTGGGCAGCTTCGCAACCCAGCGCTCAACCGCTGCGCCACTGGGGAGGCCCAATCTTTCCTTTCTTTTGCTAATTACCTTGTTCAGCTTTCAAACTATAAATATTTTCCAGGTACACTTCTATAGTGCCTTCCTTACTTGCTTGGTGGGATACTGTCCAATTCATGAACCCATCTTTTAATAAAGCCAACTAGACCTTTAAAATTGGTTGGATTTTTATTTCACACTAGTAACCACTCCTGAAAAGGAAATATGAGTAAAACTTATGTCTATTCATTTTTAGTACTTACATTTTGTTATTTCTAACAGTCTCAATAAGTTTTATTTGTAAAGCGTACTCTACCTTTAAAACATATGCTTAAAACAATAGAGCATCAGAAACTGCACTGGGCAAGTTCTAGGAGACCTGATTACTAATCTCAACTCAAGTATGTTGTAACCTTGAGTAAATCACTTGGTTTCAATATTCATCAAACATACAGAAATAATGTGTAGGGTACCTTCTGCCATTTACACTCTATGACCTAAAAGAGAAGTGACTCCTCATATGGAGTCTAGTAACATGCTTCCATTTTAAAGAGGATTGGGTACAAGAGAGATTCTGATAGCTTTTAATAAAATAAGATTTTACATATACAGATGACTGGTTTAGAAGTTTACATAATTTAGCCAATTCAAACTAGCCTTTCCAGTTCAGATTATGCCACTCTTAGGATCTAATATCTGACCAGATAATCTGTACTTTTTCTCATTTGGAAGGAAAAAAGTATAATCATGTAAACTTTAGTAACTCTAACTTCCATAATTCCTTCATTTGCCTTAAATATAGACAATATTTGATAATTAATAGTAATTTTAGTAATTTTAATAGTAATTTTAGTAATTTTCTTTTTTACAAATCCATTTTGCAAAAGAGATTTATAGTTGTAAGACTGAGTCTCCTCTTCCTAATAAATTATAATCTTAAATCATACTTCCTTAGTTCTCATTAGAACTAATTAAATGATTTCATTTCTTCTTTCATTTGTTAAATTTTAAACTTTTTCTCTTTAGTTCACTTTGAATGCTATTAGTGCTAAATTATCAGACTAACATTACAACCCTTTTTTAAATTGCCTTTTTCTTATTTAAATCAATTTTTTCTTGCTTCCCACATTCGAGGCTCTCTGCCATTTCCATACTTTTCTCAGGCACAGCTTTTGCTCTTAGTGATGTATAATGGTGATATTCAATTTATGTCAGATTGTTTTAATACATAAATTGTTTTAATCCATAAATTGGGCCTAATGCTACTTACCCTACCTGAAAGGTTGCTGTAAGGAAAGAAAAAGAATGGAAAAAGTCTTTTGAAATGGCTAAAACTCTATTACTGGCAGGCCTTATAAATGACAGTTTGATTCCTGCTTTATTTTCTTTTTTAAAGATTCATTTATGCATACAACAACTGGGGTATGGGTCTGGGGTACAGGAATGAGATAATTCACCAGAGACAGAGTGGGGAGCAGAACTGGCAGATCTACTGAAGTACACCATTGAGGGGAGCAGCAGGCGAGACAGGAGCATTCTACTGCACCATGTGGGTTAGCTCCCTGGCTGGGAATGGGACTCGTGATGCAGTGGCTGGTGATAGCTTCTATAGCTCTCAGCCTTAACCTCTGTGCCACCAGGGAGGCCCCTGATTCCTGCTTTATTTTCCCTCACATCTGTTATTAGTATTCGCCATAGACTGGGACCTGAATGGTCACTCTACCAAATAATGACTTGACTATTTTCAGCTTAAAACCATCAGCAATATACAGGTTATTTTACCTGTTAACATCAAAACACAACTTTATTTTTATTCCATCTTAATACAAACACAATGTATTCAATGAAGGAAACAAACTGTAATTTTGAAATGTACTGTTAAAATAATATTTGAGGCATATATCACTAATAGATATACACGTTACCTTTCTTCCGATCTGTACTCCTGGGGTATCTGCTTCCACAATAAACCCAGTAAAGGCTTTACTAGCAGGTGCCTTAGGATCTGACTCAGAACGTGCCAACAGAAAATACCTAGTACATATAGAGATACATGATGATAATAATACCAGGAGATGACACATGGTTAAGTGCTGTCCTAGTTAACCCTCCCAACAACGTCAATTATTTCCCCCATTTTAAAGATGAGAAAAATGAAGAATTAAAAAGGCTTAAAGGTTGTCTGAGTCGCATACTTATGATGTTGGCAGAATTAGTATTTCTGTCCAGTTCTGCTTCACTAATATGGAATTTAAATATTTTTGATAGTACGAATTGTAAACTCAAAATTCCTTTTATCATAAGGTAATTTTTAAAAAAGGTCCATACATGTTGAAACTGCACTTTTTCTTTCCCAAAACTAGTTTAATTCTTTAAGAGACAAGCTACTAGGAAAAGGAGGGCAAATAGAAATTATGTAGCAAAATGATTGTTTTTGTTACAGATGATTATTAGGAACATTTATTGGATTTTACCTCTAGAAGAATTCTTCACAGAAAGATTTAAAACATGAGGAGAAAAGCAAAACATCTATATATGCATGTAACCCATGTTCTACGTTGTCTGGAGCACGTGATTTTTTTAATTTCATAAACAATTTATTTTCTATGCTTAAAACAAATTATCATTTACTCTATAGTTTTACTGACCTACTTTGTTTTAGCACACGAAGAGTTTGTATTTGATGAGTTCTTAAAATTATAAAACTTCTAATTGCATTATTAGGTTCTTTTCAACTTATAAATTTTGATCATTTCTTCATTTTTTTATTACTTGCTAATATTATGATGACTTATTGAAGATAATGACATAGCATCCCACATTACTAGAAATTCATTAAAGGGATTGACAGATACATTTAAAATAAACAAAAACTTCTTAACAAACTCATTTCCAGGAATAATATTTTACTTGCCAGAAAATGCACCAAACAGCACACACATATTGAATCAGAATTTTTGCAGTTGCGGAAAGATAGCCCATTTAATTCACTTTTCCAATCACCAGAAAGTCTTTCTAGAAAGTCTATTTGTAGTTGAGAGTAAATTACATTATTTTCCATGACAACTTAACACACATGGGACAGGGATATTAGAAAATTTCTTCTTATGTTGAGTCATATTCTACCTTCTGTTTGAGCTATTTTCTAACTTTCAGTCATTAATTCTAAACTGGCTTCCAAAAGCAAATGCACAAGTCTGCACTTCTTTCTGTATGACATTATTTTAAAATTCTTCCAAAATAACCAATCCTAAATCCTTTATTCTTCATAGGATCTGTTTTCTATGCTCTTCCTTATGCAGATCATTTACTTACTTCTGAATTTATTCCATGGAGTCAGTGCATGTCTAAAAATGTGTTGCCCAGAATTGTTACCATTTTATCCTTTGGTTTGATGCTATGCTTCTATTTCTTCAACTTAAAATTACATTAGCCTTTTAGAGGCTGATAGAACACATTGTTGATTCCTGTTGAACCTACAGTTACTTACTAAACTTTCATTTTTTCCACACAAATAATGTTATCAACTATATTTTCTTCAACATTTAGTATTAATACAAGTGAGTTTATGATCCTTGTTGAATTTCACATTATGTTTGGACCTGTATTTGGATCTTTGAGATTTTTGCTAAAGAAAAATTAGGACTATCTTTGTTTACTGCCCAGAATCAGAGAAAATGCTATACCAGTGTTTTTTCTCTTTTTCCTCAGAGTCTTAAGGAATGATTTCAAGGAGATGCTGATACAGGAAACAGAGAGTAGAGATAGTATATCAAGTAATGGAGCTCTAGCTTTCCTAACCAGATTCAGCCAGAGTAGATGTTTTGTTTACTTTTATTTTACAAATTAAATTTCTGAGTGTTAATTTGAAGAAACAGTTAAGGGCTTTAAAATAGCTTCTGAAAATCACTTTAGTATTTATAGGTTTTTATGAAGCTCCCAAGGCCACGAATAAAAATCATCTTAATTGTGATGGTTTAATAATAAAGAAGAGCGGGGAGATTCTGAATATAAAGTAAGAAAGAAGCAATATACAGAGATGTTTTAGACAACATACCAATTAGCTTTTCCTCCGTTGGTTATCCACATCTTTTGACCATTAATAATATACTCATTTCCTTTCTTTTCTGCTTTGGTCTTTATACCAGCGACATCAGAGCCTGCTCCAGGTTCTGTTACACAGTAGGCCTTTAAAAATATGAAAATGAGAAAAAAGGGCAAACATTAATTACTACGAGTGTTTAAAACCAGAACTGCATTTTACTTTTTAAGTCAATATTTTAAATATATTAAAATATCTAAAAAGTTTTCTTAGAGAATCAAACTGCTTAAATATAAGAACATTTAATATAGAAATTAAAACTAGATGCAAGATAACAAATAAACCTTATCAAAAGTTTACAGGTCAGATATCTTCATCTAAATTAAATTCAGCTTTACAAGTGCAGTAGGTTACAAACTAGGAGATTTGAAAACCAGAGTAAAAGACATCCTTAAGACCTTCCTGTGGTAATGGAGAAGAGTATCATAATTTAATTATATGTCTATGTACAAAAGTCATTCTCAATGGGCTTGGGAAACTAGCATAGTTTAGGATGCTAGAAATGATACTTAAGTCACAAAAAGGAATTTTTGTGGGTAGGGAAAAGGGCAAATGTGTCTTCCACGCATAAGTAATAACATATGCAATGATAATTGGAGATAAACAGCAGGGTTACTCAGTGTTTATAGTATGAAAGTACCAGAGTTCTATAACTTGTAAGCTCTGTGCATGTTAGAGAATGGAAGGAAATGAGTCTGGAAAGAAAGGAGGGAAATAGATAACAAAGAACCCTTTATATTACATGAAGAAGTTAAGTTTACCTGGTATCAAGAGGGGAATCACTTTTGGTTCTTAACAGAGTGACAAGATGTAAGCAGTAATGGATAAAAGGAGTGGTAGAAGGCAAACATTAAGTAGATGAAGTTCTACTTAATGAAGTTACTGATAGGTACAATGGTTACAAGGCCTAAAGACACAAGTACTAGTCTTTTAAGGTATGTAAAGTACAAAGAGAGAAACCTTAAGGGTTAATTTTAATTCCAAGCAGTTTGGAAAAAAATAAATCAAAGTCTTAAGGGTAATATGGATAATAAAAACGACTACTTTGACTTATAAGGTGGTAGGAAGTGAAGAGTGGTAAAGAGGGTGGAGAGAAATAAGGAAAACTCATTGGGAGAGGTAAGTCTTGAAGGACAATTAAGTGAGGCAAGCAGATCTAATGCACAGAAGAAACAGCAGGGGAAACTACTAGTAGTTCAGTACTTGCATTGACAAAAAGTGTGTAACTAAAAGCCATGCAAAGAGGCTAAAGAAGAAGGCAAGAGACCTGGTCAAGAGGTTGAGGCATATGCCATTTCCTTAGAAAGTCAACTTGTATGCATTTAACATAAGTTTATGGAACCCTTACACCTACTACATGGGACCTTAAGGAATCACATGGGCTTCAAGGGAATCCAGAATACCCTAGTATGCAAAAGTGAGGAGTAGATGCATTTCCTGAGGAAACCGGATTCTAAAATGAGCTCACAAACTAAAAAAATGTATCAGGTGCCACTGCCACTGAAAATGGAACCACTGGGTGTTTTTGTAAATGCAGAGAAGTGACACAGATTTGCAATGTACATAGTTTATTTTACAAAGGTAGAAAGGATAGATTTAGGGGGAAATAACAACAAAATTTACTGTCTTCCAGGTGCTATTCTAAGTTCTTGACTCATTTAAAACTCACAATAATCCCTATGACATAGGATGTTGAGGAGCTAAACAGGATATTATGATAACTCTCAATTTTTTAGTTTAGGCAACTTCCAATTAGGAATACTCTAGAAGAGAAACAGTACTAGAGTGAGGAGAAAATAGTTTGGTTTGGGACATATTTATTAGTTTAGGAATTTAAGTCTATCCTAGAAGAAACAGACAAGGGTAAAGGTCAGGGGAGAAGTTGGGCTGAAATTGGAGAGTTAACAAACTACTCAATGAACACACCAAAACTTAACATCAGATGTGGAACTCAGCTATTAAGTAATTAATGAATAAATGAATAGCAGTTAAAAAAGAAAGTTCCCTTGGTCATTAGGTATGTTAATAGGCTAGAGGATTATTCTGACACTTTTCTGGCAAATATTAATTAGATATTTTTCTCCTGGAAATAAGCGAGAGGATTATGATGTTACTTTCTTGGCATTCCAGAAATATCATTTTACCTAAATAGGTTACCAATTTTTTGTCTTAATGTTCTATAGCTCCTTGTATTCATATAGATTAAAAAGTAGAAATGGTACTTTTCTTCCATTCTTTGCATGTGAAATAAAGCAGCAAATACACATACTCACACACATCATTGGCTCCTCAGTCAACCTTCCCAGATACTTCTTTTTTTGTTGATCATTTCCAGCAATAATAATGGGCATTTGCTACCAAAGAAAAGTGACATTTAAAAAGCAAGGTACTTTTGCTAGTTACATAAATTCAGAGATGCTGTTATTCAAAACAAGAGATTTATTTTACCCCAAGGGATAGGTCTAAAGGACTGCCTTTCATTATGCCTCTAAGCGGAGTGGTAAAATCATAAAGGCTTTATGAAATAAATCTGTTAATCCAAGTATTTTCATAAAATTAACTTACACATAGGAGTTGTTCACAATATAGTATATAAAAATCTACTATAGTGAAATGTACAAATAAAAGAATCAAATTTAGGCTAAATGAAGAAACATATATGATCAGGTCTACTAAGAATTGCTCATTAAATGTTAGGATTGCCAGCACTGACAATAAGCCATCCTGCTGCTTTTCCTGAATACTGGGTCTTGGCCTTGCCTTTACCTAAGACTCACCCAGGAACAGGAGCCAAAATGTACAGTTTCACCGCAAGGACAGCTAGGACTCCATGTACTGGAGATAACAGGACCATTTTGTTCTTTGTTTTGTGGTTTGTTTGTTTGTTTTTTAAGATTTATTTATTTATTCATACAAGCAATGGGTACAGTCAGAACTGCAGGAGGGTGAGAGAACTCACCAGAGCCAGAGCGGAGAGAACAGGCAGACTGATGAAGTACACTGCTAAGGGGAGCAGCGGGCGCGGCAGGAGAGGTCTGCGCACCATGTGGGACCCTCACCGGCAGCCAGGGATCGAACTGGCGCTGTAGAGGCTGCGGGCAGCTTTGCAACTGCACCACCGGGGAGGCCCCCATTTTGTTTTTTTAAAGATGGATTTATGTATGCATACAAGAGCTGGGTGACAGGCCAGAGGTACAGGGGGGAGGGGGTGAGAGGATTCACCAGAGGCAGAGTGGGGATCAGAACAGACAGACTGACTGAAATACACTGAGGGGAGCAGCAGGAGAGACAGGAGAGGTCTGCTGCACCATGTGGGTCAGCTCCCTGGCCAGGGATTGAATTCAGGCCACAATGGCTGTGGATAGCTTCATAGTGCTGAGACTTAATCCCTTGTGCCACCAGCGAGCCCCAACAGGACCATTTTTGAATAAGAACTTCAGACTTCACTGTAGAATCATGTGTTCATTTTTAAACAAAACTGTGTTCTACCATATATAATAAATTAGCAGTTAACTGTCTTACTAACATTAACTCACAGCTTGGTAATTTATTTTCAAAGTAACTTACACCCAAAGAATTTGCTTCAATAGCAGTCTGAACCCCGGTACATCCATAAGCCAATTCTTCTGTAATTAAACAGGCATCAAAAGTTCCAAGTCCAAGACCTCCTATAGTATCAAAATATTTTAAGATTCCATTATGTGATACAAGACAACAGAATTAAAAATGAACTATTTAATTAGTTCCAATATGAACTAATTGGTTATAAATGAGAATTTGCAAATACAGTATCTGTAATACAATAAACTAAAAAAGTGTTCTAGGAGCACAGTAACAAATTATACTTCTCTAAAATAAATTTCAAAAAATTCTCTTACTATGTTTAATCTGGACCTATTTTTCTGTTGTAACTTGATTTTGTAAATATTTTATTCAATGCTGCTAAATCTTTAACTCTTTGACCCGAAAAATCTCACAGAAAAAAAGTCTTAGTCAAATGTAAAATTAAAGGTAGATTATAAATGAACAAATTAACCAACTCTACAAAGGTACCAAAGTTTAGATCAAGTTAAGGATAGAACCAATTTTAAAGGAGGAAAAAAATGCCTTTGATGAATATAAGGCTTTTGAAAGCTGGCAAAAAAATATTAAAGTCTGAACAGAGACATAGGTAGAAAGCCATTTACTGGCAACAAACACTTTAAAGAATGAGTAGAGTTTAAAGTTTTTCTTGATCATATGCATGCTAGGTTTAAAAATCTGAAGAAAGCTTACCACAACTCTCTGGAATGTGTGTATTCATTAAACCAAGTTCCCAGGCTCTTTTAATTAGGGGTACAGGGTACTAAAAGCAAAAAAAAAGATAAAGGGGAAAAAATCTGGTTATATTTAAAATCTAGATCATCTTCTAAAAACGTTTCTCTCCTTAAGATGTATATACCTACCTCGCCAGATTTATCATAGTCTGCAGCAACTGGTATTATTTCTTCCCTGGCAAATTTACGAGCAGTAGCTTGAAATTCTTTCTGCTGCTCAGTCAAGTCTAAAGAAAGTTTTTAAGGAAACATTATAATAGGATAATGAGTTGAAGAAAAAAGACCTATGAAGTCAGAATGTGGATCGATATAACTAGTATCTCAGACAGTGTGATCTCAACAATCAATTTAACTAGGAAGATGAGACATTCTCTGGTGCCATTAAATAAAACTTTTTTCCCCCCAAATATTATTATATCAATACCATAATATTATTAATCAATACCATAATTTCAATTTTACTCCTCTTTTAATCTCACATAATTTAAATTTATAAAGCACAAAGCAACTGGTAAAGTGGTGGAAAAGTTTCTCAAAAAGATTGTAACATAAAACTGCTATAATGCTACAAGTAGTGTCCAAAAAACTTAAGTATATACTATATACTTACTATAAAATTAATGAAAAGAGTAAGAGGCTAGACTGGGGGTAGGAGTCAATCAGTATTACATTTATCAAATCCACACTTAATGGGTTTTAATGTGGTTGTATCCAACATTGAAGGATAGGTAAAATTTAAAAGTTATAGTAAAGGGTGTTTCAGGCAAGAAGAATGAAAGCAAAAGCACAAAGTAAGAATGAGCAAGACAGTTTAAAAATAATCATTTGGAGAGGGACATGAGAAATAAAATGTAAAAGGCATTACAATTTTCATGTTCAACTGAATAGCGTAAGATGATATTTCTCATTTTATAGATAAGGAAACTTTAGACCACACTGAGGAAATGATGGCCCCATACCTTACAATGAATTAGCAGTAAAGTATAATTAGAGTTTCAGTCCAGTATTCTCTAGATTGCACTTTATTTCTAAAATTGGAATCAGTTCACATCAAGGTTGTGGATGGGTAAAGAGCAAAGAAAGCAGGGATCTATGATGTATTATTTGAGAACCTACTTAGATCCTGTCACTATGTACTGGGAACTTTACATATATAATTTAATTACATTAAATTATACTTTACATTAATAATTTAATCTGCAAATAAGTCCTGTGTTGTATATACTATTCCTATTTTATAAAGAACCAGATTCAACTAATCATAGGTCTCATCCCTACTCCTTTACTTGAGCTTCACAAACTCCCTCCCAAACACTAATCTGATCCTCTGTCATTTAGCAAACCAACATAGATTTCTCCTGCTAATCCCTTACTACTCAACGTAAATCTGTGTGACAAACCAAAACTACACAGCAATCACATTGAATCAATACTCTTATCTCAACAAGGAAATATGAAGATCCAGTGTCCCACAAAGTGTTATCCTCACATTGTTTGAAAATTTTCACTTAATCCTATTTTTAAAAACTTACAAAGATGAAATAAAAACTAAAAAAAGTAACTCCAGAAGATTCTGAGACTGCATTTTGTACATGGGTGTAACTTAATGATCTCAGTGGCCTTTTTAACTATTTTCTGAAACCAAGTGAATTGAAATTAAACACAAGAAAGGTATTAATTCTGAAGTCAGAAGTACTTCAGGAGGCCAAGGATATCAAAGATAGGAATTACAATTTTGGTTTTTTGCCTAAAGTCTTCATTATAGAGAGGAAAGGGGAAGGAAAGCTTTATTTCTTCCTCTAACACATGGCTCCCTGGTTCCAGGATTGAAAAGTACATCTAATAACAACAAAACTGCAATTCAGCTATATGGTGGCCAAAACAGACACAGCTTACTACTAGCAGGTACCTGATTGGTGTTTCTGATAAGTTTTTAAGAAATATTTGCTGCATTCACATATCCAAACTGAAGAGTGTTCATATGTTATCACTAAAATTGTTATTTACTTTGGGCTGTATACCAGGAAAAGGGCAGGATTATGGATGCATGCTGACAGCTCTTCGTATTGTGAAGAAAAAGAGATCAGGAAGAATCAGTGAGAGTAACAGTGAGCAATCTGTGGGTGGTGACTGATTCTACTCATTGACAGACATTACTAAGTTTGTTTACACACACAGTCCAGACAAATACATATACAGAGCTGTATATGTAAGTATGTGTATATATAAACACACAAAAAGCAAATGCAAGTTCATAAAATCAACAGACAGAATAAAACATATACCAAAACTAAATCCCAATCCTGGTTCATGTTTCACAGCAGCTTTTGTATGTTGTGATCTCCAGTCAAAACGTGAAATACTTCTCAGGATCTGTAAACAACAATTTTATTCAAATAAATTTGATAAATTATTCCTTAATCAAATAAGAGATACAACCATGAGCACAGCAACTTGTTTGAACATATTAAAAATCAGTTTTTTAAGTTATTACATTCTTTCAAATGTTATTTAATATCTATATTAAATAATTTAATATCTATATTTAATATCTATATTAAATAAGCTAATTACCAAATGTTTCAATAGATATATCAAAGGAAATTTTTTTTTTTAAAAAGTGAAAATATTGTACTGTTTTCAATAGCTATCTAGTGCATCAATTGTGATGCCCCATACATGTGTGCCTCCTGGGTATGCTTCTGGGAATCCCATTTTTCTAAGATAGCTTACTCTATTTAATAAAACAAATTAGCCTAAGACCACATTTCATATTTTCTGCCGTAGTCTACAGGCATTCTTAGAATGTTCTAAGTCAGCGGTCAGCACACTATGCAGTCACCACTTTCATAAGTAAAATTTTATTGTAATACAGCTCACTGTATTGTCCATTGCTGCTCACTGTATTGCCCATTTTCCAGAGCTGTATAGTTGTCATAGAGACCATATGGTTCACAAAGTTGAAAATAGTATCCGTACCTTTGCTCCTATTCCTTCAAAAGGCTATATAAAAACAATATAATCGGGCCTCCTCAGTGGCGCAGCGGTTGAGCGCTGGGTTGCGAAGCTGCCCACAGCCTCTGCGGCGCCAGTTCCATCCCCGGCTGCTCCCAGGAGGGTCCCACATGGCGCGCAGACCTCTCCTGCCGCCCGCTGCTCCCCTCAGCAGTGTACCTTGGTCCTTCTGCCTACTCTGCTCCCCGCTCTGGCTCTGGTGAATTCTCTCACCCTCCCGTGCTTCTGACTGTACCCAGTGCATGTATAAACAAACAAACAAATAAATAAAACATGCCTCTTAAAAAAAATATATATATATATAATCAAGGATATACGTATTATTCCTTTGCAATCTATTTTTTATTTTTCCTGACAACTTAATGTACATAAAACTAAACAGTTGCATTTAAAAATTTACCAAACAAAACCATAGTGAACACCTGATTAAGGTTTGAGGACAGTCAAAATTACACAATTTTCATTTCAAAGGATTTTGATGGAACTATGTGTAGGCAATCCAATCTAATAAGTAGGACATTGAAAGAAAAGAGAAGTTGAACAATATACTAAAAGATGAAGTACTGAATTTGCTTGTTTTTCAACATAAAACTGTAAAAACAAACTGGCTACTTTGTAATAACAATTTCAACTTATAGAGAATCACCTATAAAGTGACAATATTTTCAAATATCTTAATTTAAACAGCCCTTTCAAAATAATAACAGTTTATACTACAATTTTGAAAAATTGGATGCAGAGTATGAAATTTCACACTTTGCAATTTTCATTAATTTTATTTTGGAAGTAAAACATTGTTTTTCTGGTTCTTATACACCAAACCCATTCTTGTTTAGTTACATCCTACCTATTAATCATTGAATCTTCAGGGCAAGTCTAGGATTAAGAAACTACTTTTATTCCTGCTTTGCATATGAAAAAACTGAGGCTCAGAAAGATCAAAATTGGCTACAGTCACGCTGCTATTAGGTAGCGAAACCAGGTTCTAACTCTAGCATTTACTATCAAGAGCCTCTGCTAGTTGCAACAAGTATATTGCATAACACTAAGCCAGCTGACTTTCTACACAACAGCAAAATATTTAAAATGAAATAGTCCTATTCTCAAAATCATCAAAAACAATAAAAGTATTAGGAATACATTTAAAAAGTAAAAAAGAGTCTATGCTATCACCTACCTAGTTACCATTCTTTCAACTTAAGTCTGGTTATTAAGTTCTATAAAGGAAAACATCCCACAAAAATCACACCAAACAAATTGACTATTAAAAATGTATGTATGACTCTATCATATATGACTACTATAAATAGAAACATCACACAGAAGACCTCACAAAATAGGTAAAATGGTCTCCTAAGAAACTTATGGGAATCCTTACTGGATTTAAAATAGTTTTCAGAAAGTCAATTTACATATGACTTCAGAAAAACATGTTTGTAAAACAATACTAAAGTAGCCACAGTCAGGTAACAATACCCAACAATCTGTTAATTATATATTTGTTAGTCATTTAATTAGAGAGATGGGTTAGTAGACACAAAATAAAGAAATAGAACATTATTTGGTGTTTAGAATCACTGAATTTGAACTAAACCCTTTTTCACACTGGACTAGTTACAAAATTCCTATAGTTTCTTTTCAAACCTGGAAAAATGGGGCTAATTTTACTCGATAATTTGTTGAAATGATTAAAATAAATGTTCTCCCCCTTTTCTGCCTTCAGAGTCCACTACATTGTACAGCACTTAATACTGGGCTACAATCCATTAGGACTATTCTAAATTCCAAAATTGCTATTTTTCTGGTCAGTAACATTGATTTAACTCGTTTATAAGTGACAGTTAATGGTAGTAGTGCGTAAACATTCCAATAATATTTAATATAGCAAAATGCATCTAGTGACTGAAACAAATTAGCATCTGTAAGACACACTTCCCAATACACTGACAAGGTTCAAAAAGTCCGCGGTAGGCTGTTGTTTTTTTTTTTTAACACCTGCAAGATGGAAGCAACCTCCCTCATATTGCAAAATCCGAAGCGCATTAGAGGTATTAAGTATCCCAAGGACCAAGGGTTCCATTTTACTTTTTCCCCGTGACTTTGCAGGAAGTATGCATGTAGTATGTATCTAGTATGTCTCCACTGCAGAATCGCATCCACATTATGATTCTCCTTCTTGGGCTGGAGCCAGAGAGCGGGCAGCTTTCCTCCAAGAGATTCTCTGCCAGTTTAGTTCCTATACTCCGCCCAATTGAGACTGGTTCACTTCGGAAAACTATGGGATTATTGGGGGAACTATTTGGAGGGCTCCCAGGCAAGAGAAAAAGGACATTCTAAGAAGTGGACGCCGCCTAGTAGGGGGCAGCTGCCACGAGGATGCCGTTAAAAGCCAGTAAGCATTCTGACCTCCAGGGAGAGGGAGGCTGGCGTGAAAACGAGGCGCCCTATAGGAATTCCGTCACAGCCCGCCGGGTAAATAATAGGGCCGAGGCTACCCGGAGGCAGGCTACCTCCTTAGCCGCCTACCCGTCCCTACAGCAACTACTTTGGTCCATGCCTCCCTCCCTGGAGAACCACAACCCTCACTCCCCAGTGCCTCCGCGGCCCTGCTCTCCTCCTCACCCCGCAGCTCCGCCTGAGCACCGCTGCCATGTTGATTGCAGAGCTGGCCACTCAAACAGTTGCCCCCAGCGCCGGGTCAAAACTCGGCCTGGCCCCGCCCCCGGTGGATGTGGGCGGGGCCGGGGCGGGGCCGGGGCGGGGCCGGGGCGGGGCCTCCGTGAGAGGGGTCGGTAGGAAAGGGGCGGCTGGGAGGGGCCGCCCGACGCACGCGCGGTGACCTTGCCGGCGCTGTCCGCGCGACCTTGGGCGGGAGCTTGAGCTTGCCCCTGAGGATGGTCCTGGAAAATGCCCGGCTGCCCTGCGGATCTCGGAGTTGAGACGACAGCTGTGCGGAGAGGGAGCTCCCCGTGGGGGGCGGGCACGGAGGAACTGGAGGCCCAGGCCCTGGCTGGGGAGTCGGGGGTGGGGGTGCTGGGGTGGGGCGCGGGCTTGGCTGGGTATCTGGGTGAGAGGGCGTGGACCGGGCACTGTGGGCAGCCTCAGACCGAGACCTGGCTCGGTGGCATCTCCCTGGCCGTCAGCCTTGACCTTTACTCGGAGAAATCTGTCAAACCCAAGTTGTTTCTCCTTTTAGCGTTCAAAGTACACTTTACTCTCACATGCTGGACCTAGCTAAAGGGTGTTTTGTGGTTCAGAAAAAGAAGGGGAATTTAATCATTTAGGTAATTTGATCTTTCTGAATATTTCCAGGGCAATTTATTGCTATCCGTCTGTAGGCATGTGCCGTGTGTCCTTGGAGATGAGGTGCAAGATGAACCTATCTAAAGCTCCTGCCCCCGCGAATGAGTGTTGGAACTGAATGTCTGCCTGAATTCTATTTAAAGTCACCCTCTTTTTTTCCAACTAGACTGATTTCAGAGGTTATAGCTGTGATATTACAAAACTGGGAGATTTGCAAAGCCCTCCGGGTGTGGATAGGTCTTTGTGAAAGCTAATAAATTCAAGCCTGGAAAGAAATGTTTTCCATAATCCCCAGGGTTTGTCTTTTTTATTGCCACCATTGTAGTTTTAGGTCGTCATCACTCACCCTTAAATCTTTTTACTAACTTGCTTATCTATCTTTTGCTAAGCTAATGCAGTGTATAATCTCGTTTTAATTTAACTGCTTAATTTCAGTGTCCTATCATTGTATTACCCTACAAGAACCTTCCACTTTGTCCGTTGGGAATTTATTCCGTTTGGATACAAGGCAGGATATTAATTAATTGCTAAATTCACAGTGACAGTGCCAGGGATATTACAAAAATGAAAACAGAGTTTGTCCTGGAATCATCAAGAAGCCTTCAAAGAGGGCCTCCCCGATGGATGGCACAGCGGGTTGAGGGTTGAGCGCAGCACTGTGAAGCTGTCCGCAGCCTCTGCAGCCCAGTTCGATTCCCAGCCAGCCAGAGAGATACCCACATGGCACGGCAGACCTCTCGTCTCGCCTAATGCTCCCCTCAGCAGTGTTTTCGTTCCATCTGCCTGTTCTGCTCCCCACTCTGTCTCTGGTGAATCCTCTCAAACCCCCGCCTCCCCCACCCCCCCCACCCCCGCCGCACCTCTGGCCTGTACCCCAATTCTTGTATAAATAAATAAATCTTTTTTTTTTTTAAACAAGAAGCCTTCAAAGAGATAAGTGAAGACATAATGAACTTTTTTTTTTTTAATAGAGGCATGTTTTTATTTATTTATTTATTATATTTGTTTGTTTGTTTTGTTTATACATGCACTGGGTACAGTCAGAAGCGCGGGAGGGTGAGAGAATTCACCAGAGCCAGAGCGGGGAGCAGAGCAGGCAAAAGGACCGAAGGACACTGCTGAGGGGAGCAGCGGGTGGCAGGAGAGGTCTGTGCACCATGTGGGACCCTCCTCTGGTGGCCGGGTTGCAGCCGGGGATTGAACCGGCGCCGCAGAGGCCGCGGGCAGCTTTGCAACCCAGCGCTCAACCGCTGCACCACCGGGGAGGCCCGACATAATGAACTTTTAAAGATGGATTGGTTTTGGCTATGTGTGTGTATATATATATATATATTTTTTTTTTTAAAGATTTATTTATTTATACAAGCACTGGGTACAGTCAGAAAAGGGGGAGGGTGAGAGAATTCACCAGAGCCAGAGTGGGGAACAGAACAGGCAGATGGACCGAAACACACTGCTGAGGGGAGCAGCGGGCGGCAGGAGAGGTCTGTGCGCCATGTGGGACCCTCGCCGGTGGCCAGGGATCGAACTGGCGCTGCAGAGACTGCGGGCAGCTTTGCAGGCCAGTGCTCAACCACTGCGCCACCTGGGGAGGCCCTATGTATATCTTCTTTTTAATTTCTTTTTCTGGACATTTTGAAGAGAAAATATGTCTAGTCTAGAGGCAGTAGGTTCAATGCATTGGCATGCCTAGTGAATTTGAAAAATTTATGAAATTGGGATATTGAAGAGAAAGCTGAAAAGATAGAAGGTAGGGCCTCCCTGGTGGTGCAGAGGGTTGAGCACAGCACTTCGAAGTTGTCCATGGCCTTTGCTGTGAGAGGTTGATCCCCGCCCCTCTGGGGAGCTACCCAAATAACAAGGCAGACCTCTCCTATCTCGCCCACTGCTCCCCTCAGCAGTGTATTTTGGTACATCTGCCTGTTCTGCTCCCCGCTCTCTTTGGTGAATCTTCACCCCCCTGCAACTCTGGCCTGTACACTACTTCTTAAAAAAAAAGAAAAGATAGAAGGTAATGGGTACAGCAAGTGCAGTGACAGTAAAGATAAGGTCTAGGGTTTCAGCATAGGGGTAAGTAATTGAAGCAGAGTAGAGAACAAGGTTATTTTAGGAAAAGTTGAGAGGCCAGGAAAATAGAAGAATCATCTCCATGGATAGTGAAGTTAAGGGAAAAGGGAGGTTCCAGGTTCTCCACCCCACCCAAGGGAGGGTGAGGTTGATGCGAAATGCCCGCCTCAGTTTCTCTCAGTCGATGAAAGGAAACAGTTTGAGGAAAAGGAAAGTGGTTTAATTTGTCAACAAATGAGGAGGGCAGCAGACTCGAGTATGAAAGACCACTGTCCTGCTCTTGGGCAGGATGCAGGGTTATTTACACAAAAGGATAAAAAAGGGGGAGATAGGCAAGGGAGTCTGCCAAGTGGGGAGGGGATGGGGTCAGCACAGAGATGGGTGGGCAGCAGCTTGCCTTTTTAACAACTGCTGCTTAACTCCATTTTCCTTGGAATGCAAGAAGACAAACCTGTTAAACAAGGGGGGAAATAAGAGATTGAGGGATGACAAACTTGTTAATGCTTATCTGAGACACCAGTCATTTGTAACTGCATCAGAGTTGAGGAGGGAGGAGAAGAAGCTGGAGAGGAGACTACAGAAGGAAGGAGGAAGTATAGAGGACAAGGAGACCTGGAGGAGACACATGGAGCAGAGAGACATGTGAAGAAACTGTGCTTACCTTTTGTTCCTGGACTGGTTGACACAGATGTGGGTGAGACTCGAGGGAAGGTAACAGTGGCAGCTTTTATCTTGGTTTTGATTTTGCTCTTTCCTCCAGATTTGTCTGTCTGTTTCTGACCCTTTTCTATGGCTCCCTGCCAGAGGGTGCTGTAGACTTGCGGCAGGCTTTCAGGCCTTGCTTTGGGCCAACCCTGTTTGGCTGGACATTTGTCCCCGAGGGGAATGGGTAACCTTGGGTGCTTGATTTAGAAACTATATTCTTTGTCTTTTCTGTATTGCAAACTAATTGTGTTAAAGTTCCTTTCCATTAAAGGTCATATATGTTGGTACTTGGTACTTTGGTACTTGGTAGGGCAGATGGAGAACCTATTTAGAGCAGGCAGATTTGGATTATGGGGTGCCCCCTCCCTGTCCTGTAACAGTACTAAGAATTATGACTAGTTTGAGAGAAAGTGACTTTGAGCTAAATACAAGACTTTTTAAAAGATTTTTATTTATTCATTTTTGCATAGAAGAACTGGGGTGCAGGCCAAAGGTGTGGGGTAGAGGTGGTGGTGAAAGAATTCACTAGAGACAGAGTGGGGCGCAGAACAGGCAGATCTACTGGAATACACTGCTGAGGGGAACAGTGGGCGAAACAGGAGAGGTCTGCTGCGCCATGTGGGTCACCTCCCTGGCCAGGGATCGAACTCAGGCTGTAGTGGTGCTTTAACCCCTTGGCCACCAGGGAAGCCCCAGAACTCTTGATAACATCTATGTTTTTCTCAGCTAAATAATCACGATAAGCTGATATGTTTGGTGCAAAGCAACACTAGCCTTTTGGTGGTTGGTGTTTTTCCTTTTCCATTCCTTTTTCAAATAATACTCTTGTTCTGTCTTCTGTAGCGATAGTAAAGCTAGATATCCTACACTGTTATGTTACTATGAGACATGATTTCACCAAAAAGGAATTTATAATTATATCTCTTCCAAGCCTTGGGGAGTTACTTAAGACTGTCAATCTCAGCAATGAAATACCAGTTTCTCATTCAGTGACACTTGTTTTCAGAGCAGAAGTCATGCTTAATTGCTGATCCCACTTTAAGTACTATTTGGCTTAGATCCCAGGAACTAATTCATATGGTGAGGTTGTTCACCTGTCTTAAAGACCTCTGTTGCTTACAAGTAAAGAATTAATCTGATTATTCACTTTAGGGAAGCTTCATGAGGTATGGTCACCTTGGAACCACAGCAAATTTTTTTAACTTGAAGGCTCAAAAATTTGAAATGACCTATTTCCCCTAAATAAGATCAGAGTATAAATTCAGATTCTAGTTTGACCACAAATAGGGAAAGTTTTGCAAACGTATAAAACTAGGTTTTACTGTTTAATATACATTATTCAAACCAGGAAGCAGAAAAAACAAGTTCATGGCAAGGGTAATTTCAGGGATCCTGAGAACCACTGGAAGGATGAAGGGAATGCTTGTAAGATCAGATCAGAGATATAATGCTTAGTAAATGTTACCTTCAGCTGGGAAGAGCCTCTAGGAGATAAGGAGTAGAGCATAAACTAGAGCTACAGGGAGAGAACTATGGCAAAAGGATTCTAAAAGAATCTGAAAACACCTCAGTTCAAGCAGCAATAATAATGAAATTCTTACATAGGCAAGAAGAGTAGCAAGATTACATAAGGTGATGACCAACAAGACACCCATGGTACCTAG